CGTGACAAGAGTGGAATGGGTTGGTCTTGTTTGTGTCTGGGGTACAAACAGGGGCATGTGTTTCGAGGTACCCAGCTAGGATACATTGGTTCATGAATCGTTATTTCTGTGAGACGGTACGACTTGGCTATGGTCTAGCACCGTAGTAAGAACTGGAAGATGAAAGATGGTGAAATGGTTCTGATTGAAAGTAGAACATGTGCTTACTTAGAATGGCTAGCTAATGAAATAATCATGACTGTTAAAACTTGATTGTAAAGATGAACTATTAGTAATGCTTTTCGCAAACAAAAGAAAACAACAAACCCATATTGCCTATCATATCCTTGAGAGTCGGAAAACTATTTTCACTAGTCGGGTAAGTCTTGCGAGTACATTGTGTACTCAGGGTTTGTTTACCCCTGTTGCAGGTGCAGCTTGAGGAGTAGCTCTTGTGTGGAGAATTCTTCTGGTAGACACAGACGGATCCTTGTATCCTTTTCGCTAGATGTTTATTTTCATTCCGCTGTTTAATTATCGCACTCTGAACTTTGGTATTGTAATAAATAATTTCTAAGAACTCTTGTTGTATGAAATGGACTAAGTATTGTAAGCTCATACTCATTATTGGATTTTGGATGTAAAATGTGGATTGTTTTGAGTTCTCCCTTGGGGTGTGCTCGACGGAACTGTCCGATGTAGCTCACTTTCAAGGTGCTTAGTGTCTAGTGGAAGACGAGTGTCTCCGAAAACGTGTTATTTTGGACGGTTCTGCCATAGTGAAGATGATACCAGCAAGCAAAAGGCTTTCACCAATCTACACGTCACAACGATCATCCAGAAAGCTAAGTCAAGTTGCTTTATAACTAAATATTATTATATGAATACTTCTAGATATATCCGTATGTCTGCATGATTTCTGTTGGGAGGAACCTAATCGCATCTTGTTGCTCATGATTTCTGATCGGATACATAAGATCGTTTCCACGGATCACGACAACCAGCAATCAGGAAAGGCCACCGGCGATAACGCGATGTGGAGCAGTATTTCCACCAAAGATGTTGATCGGCCGTACAAGCTAATTGGAGTAGTTGAAGAGATATGCAAGCACATATGCATCTGGATCTACACCACCATGCAAGCGACCTCACGTATGTCAGACATGCAAGGAAGACCTCGGACTGCGCCCTCGCCTCGGTCGGGCACACCCAAGGGCTTCGCCTCCCCATGCTGATTGACTCCATCAGGCTCCGATTATGCCCATTCGCCTACGACTCCACGTACTCATCCGAGTTGTCAAGCGAATCATCCGAGCTATCAAGCGAGCCGTCCGAACTATCAAGCGAGCCATCCAAATCACATCCATCTACTCAGACATCATGACTTGCTGGCTCCTCTACTCCACTCAGCATCAATCAAGCTAAGTCATGCTTTAATATTCTTCTAAATATTCTCTAAATCTTCATACGTCTCCGATGTCTCTCCATAATTATTCTCCAAACGACTTTTTTCTCCACGTATACCATCTTAAAGATAACACACGCTTTCGACTCAATAAATCCCCGAACAATCATGTTGACGCTAGGATGTCCCCAGAGATGGCCCTGTCTCTGGCTTCTCCCTACACATGCACAAGCGTCTGCCCTCTGCGTTATGGGTGGTCGGCAGCGGCTCCCGCCGTGCTATTCGGAACCGACGCGTTCGCCCAGAACCGCCCACTCCAGCACCCGAGCTGCCTGGCACATCCACAGACACCGCTGGAGTAACCCGCGTAGTCCCAGGGGCTTCGGTGGCTGCCTGCGCTGCCGCCTGGAGTTGTCCGTGCGGTCTCGGGGACTGCGGCAGTCGTCCATGCTGTCGCTGCCGGTGCTGCCCGAGCTGCTACAGCGGGTACCGCCCAAGTATTGTCGGGCACCGGCGTTGTGGTCTCCCGCATCCGCCGCTTTTCGCGCGTCTCCGCCCCTACCGGCGTAGACGACGGAGGCGTCATGGCCCTTGGGGAAGGAGGCGCTGCCGTCTCATCATCGTCCGATGAGCTCGATACATACATCTGCCGTCTTTAGGGCTAGGCGGTAGCTCCAATGCTCACCGGCTTCTCTTCACGACGAGACGACCCTGTTGTCTTAATTCTCTTCGGGGCTGGCTCCTTATCAGTAGGCCGCTTCCCTAGGAGCTTATCGCGGACATACGACGTCCGCTCGTCTTCATCTCCGTTGTCAAGGTTGGCCGAGCTGTCCCCGCCTATCTCTGAGCTAGCCTGATGGCAGGTACTGCTTGACCAGGCATTAATCCCCCTTGGCCAGTCCGCTGACGACACCGCCGAGAAGTACACCGCCTGGTCCTGCCCACGAATCTTTAGGAACACGAATGAGTACGTTTCAACAGATAAAGGAACAAATGAATCCAAAAATAAAACTCTTACCTGTGGTGGGAGGTTCCCTACATGGAAGGGCCTCTGCTGGTCGTCGATCCTAAGACACCCCGCAAGGTTGAACATCATCAAGATGCATTGTTTAACTTCATCCCGACCGATCTCCTCGAGCACCTCACGGGTCCCATTGGTCTCCCCCCTGAATTCATATCCAGGATGTGTCCTCTGCTTGCTGGGCTGGACCCGCCGAAAAGTGAAATTTGTTGCCACGATCACCCCATCTAACCTTCTCTGATCTATCAGCGTCAAGAGCTTCGTCACTTGCTCCATCCCATTGGCGCTAGGCCTCTCTAACCACCTGGCGTTGCTAACGGGGATCTGATCCACGTCGCATGCCACATACAACTCCACCTGTGGCATGTAGAACCATCGCTGCGCCTAATACTTCACATTCGTGTTCAAAGGGGGTGGCGATGTATTGACCCACCATCCCGTCCCAGAGCTACAAGTACGCCCTCCTACAATCCTAGATCTAGGCCCCTAGGCTTTCAAGCAAAAGAAGTGGCAGAAGAGATCAAAATGGGGAAGAATGCCAAGATAAGCCTCGCAGAAATGGACGAAGACAGAGACATGAAGGATGGAGTTTGGGCTCAGATTGCAAAGACTAATCCCATAATAATCCACAACACTCTTATAACCGTTCGACCCCTGACCCTCCACCTTCTAGGGTTTTTAGGAAACCGCGCCTACCTTACCGTATTCTCTCCCGAAATCTCCGCACGCCTCGCTAGGATTGCTAAATGGGCCTGGTGGGCCACCACATCAAACGCGGGTCGACGAAACAAAATTCAATGCTAAGCGTCGCTTCGATGGAGTTTTTTAGATATTTTTTCCTCTGACCCTCCTACAAGATATATTCGTAATCTTCTAGTAGGCTCGGGGACTACGTGTGTACACGTCATCTGGCGATGACTGTATAATTTTTCTCAGCTAAGCTGGGGACTGCTTTGGCACCTAAAGACTACTGTTTTGGACCCTGGCACCATGTGACTACTTCACCTACTGTCAAGCTCGAGAACTAAGTGGGCACACTTCACCTAGCAGTGAATGTGCTTATTTCTGGACTTGGTCTTCTAGGGGGCGACTAAGTCATAGACTGTAATCATCCAAGATCCTTGTTTTGGTTCTCAGAGTCAAATTTTTCCTAAGGCATCGATGCTAAGCATCTCTCTTCGCTACTGAGGGACTAAGCTCCTATGCGCTGACTAAGTCAAGGACGCTAAGCGTCTAACTTCGCTGCGTGAAACCTAAGTGGGCACACTTCATCTAAGATAGAGACTTTAATTTTTTTTACTTGAGCACCTTACATCCTTCTGACAAACCTCGACTTCGAGTGAGTCCGAGCTCGGCTCCTAGTTAAACTGGTCGGACGCCTGTCTGAACTGCTCGGTGCCCAGTTAAACTGGTCGGACGCTTGCTTCAATAGCTCGGCTCCGAGTTAAACTGGTCTGACGCCTACTCCTAATGGCCGACAGCAAGTTGGACAGCTCGGGCACGCTCAAGACGGTGTTGCTCAGCGGATACAAGGCTCTCGAGGACTAGCTGTGGGGGTATAACCCCTGATACCCATAGGGCTGTACATGGGCCGAGCCGCCAGGGCAGGTCTAGCCCGCAAGACTACGCCGCACGAAGCACGACACAGTTCAGCGTGCCTCGTAAGACTACGTGAAGATCCTTGGCGGTCAAGGATGATCTCTTCGGATATGCTAGATTTCGCAATCTCTGTAATTCCTATCTTGTAAACCGATCATGATAGAATAAATCGATCAGGATAGAAACAACCGATCTATAACCCTACCCCCGGGCTTTATAAGGCGGGTAGGGACCCCCTCGTTTTTATCGAATCTGTCATAATACAATCCACAAAGACACATGACGTAGGGTATTACGCCTAATCGCTGTCTCTTGCGTTCTGTGTCACCATCCCGTTCTCTCACGCACACCTCCACCAATTCATGTACTACCGTGGGCATACCCTTTGATAGACCGACGGACGTATTTCGTCGACACTGCTGCAACACTTTAATCTCTTAAAATGCTACTTTTTAAGTATAGGAGATTGGATAGGATATCTGATGGGTGTTTCTTGAGAAAAATTCCATACATAAAGTGACCTTATAGAACAAAGCCAGTATTAAATACTGAAAAGTGATTGTATCCTTCTATGCTTGCACCATGTCCACTTGCAAATATTGTGTGGCATATATACTATGAAATAATTAGAAAATAGATTCCCTACTACCCAACTCTTCTTATGTTGAGTATACAGTGGGCGCATCACTGGGTTGAGAGCCTGGGCTTTTGCTCCATCGCCAGTCAACTGGGATAATGGGCCTCGTGTTGGACTTCGTAGTCTGGAGTCTGGAGCAGGACAGCAGTTTGAGCCCATCATCACCCACATCATGACAGCAGTTTTGGCCCAATCCTCGAGCGCCTGCTGGTGTTCCAATTCGAATTTCGAATTCACCGTCTCAACACTCAACAGCCCGTCGCTCCTCCAAACCAAAACGGCCAGGCCAGATGCCACTCCTCCAGCCTCCCTAGTCCCCACCGCTCCCTCCCCTCCACCGCGGCGCCTCACCGGGCACCATGCGGAGCCGCTTCCTCACCGCCGACTACTTCGCGCCGTCGCCCTCGGCCGCCTCCTCCTCCGACCTAGCCATAGCGCTAGCATCCCTGCCCTCCCTGCCCTCCCGGTCCCGACTCTTCCTCCCGATCCCCACCTCCTCAACCCATTCCCCTTCCCCGCCGATTTCCTCCCCGACCCGAGTGTGGCCGGCGAGGATCTCGACTCGCTCCCCTTCGACTCCGCGCTCACCGAATTCCTCGCCGCCGTCGTCCCGCAGCCCCCTGCCTGTGCCGGATATCCCCGCTGCCGACGAGGTGAGCCCGCCCCGCGTGCCTTAGGAGTTCACGTTCTCTACTCTCTAGCCGTATGGGTTCAGTGAGGGGCAGTTCGGAAGGGTGATGAAGTCGTGATTTGTGAGGTTTTGTCAATTCCGTGCTTCTATGCGTGAAATTTTGTAACTCAGGGGTTTCTCGCAGGGCTTGCTGGATGATTATCTCTACGGTAGAGGTGTGTACGGGAACGGTTTTAGCTCGATGGATCCCGTTGCTTTCAGAATCCCCAAGGCAAGTGAAGCTTTATATGTTTGGATTTTCCATGCGCTTCTCGCCTTCTCGGCTTTGATGTTCTCACCATGGAGTATTTCTGAAAATTATGTGTCTTCATTCAGGGACTGGACGATAGCCACACAAAGGGCGATAAGGAAGAGGGACTCAGTTTGGAGGCCTCAGCGGTTACCAAGGTGATCGTAGTTTCTGCTTGTTTTGTTATGCTGTGATTGTTGCATAGGAGATTTATGTGTGGTTTCTGTGTGATGTGGTGTTAGCGAGGGGGCCTGTTGGAGGCCATGTTTGAGGTTCCAGAGGTCGATTTCCTGTTGGTAAGATGCATCTCAATAGTTTCACCTGTACTTTTATGTAGTTTCCTGCTCTGGCTCAAACTCTAATGTTTCATTGTATCAAAGGTTTTGCAGAAGAAAATTGCATCGCTTGATGATGAAGAGCCAGATGCTTGTGTCACCTAGTCATTTGGTGTCCCAGACGTGAAAATCCATCCGGTACTCCACACCAAGGTTTTTTTACCATCTCATCTCCGATAGAATTTGACATCAACCAAATTTTTTCCTTCTTTCCCGCCCCACACAGACAACCCAAATTCAAATTGTCATGCGATATTTTCTTGTTTTTATCTGTGAACAAGTGATGTTTAATAGCTTAGCAATACTCTTTGAATTTTTTTTTGTATTCAAACAAGGATCCATATTTCAAGTCATTCTACGAAATTTTTTTCAAACAATTTGAATTTTTTTTGAATTTGCTCCTGCATCCTCTTTATTCACGACCTCCGATAAATTTTTATTTCCGATAATGAAAACGTTGCTCCACACCATCTCATCTAAGTTTTAAGCTATTTACTACTCTGTATTCCATATTTGTTGGAGCTGCAATTTAGTTATGAGAAATGAATCAGAATGTTGTGCTTGGATGCACAGGCTCTTTGGCAAGTCACATGTTAATAGGGATCACTAATCCACATTATGTCTGGAGCTGCAGTTTGGTTCTGAGAGATGGATGAAAATACTGTGCTTAGAACCACAAGCTCTTGGCACATGACATGTTAACTGGGATCATTGAAATCTACTATCTTCTGATACAAGTTGATGGTTGCTTTTTTTATGCTTTATACTGTTGCACTTACAATATTAATATGAACGTACATCATTGGCAATACATGCATGATAACATAACATAGGGTTTTCTCGTTAGTTTCTTGTCCATGGTTTCAGGAGTAAACACCTTATGATAAGCATGCTCATTGTCATTTGTTCATTTGATTCCATTGTGATTTATGAAGTCTGAACTCAAAGCATCATCTCCATTAGAATGGCTAGATTTAACGTTAGCTCGCCATGCCTATCACAACCCTCCTCCTTTACTAGGGCTTGGGACCTGCTACGTTGAGACAACATAGGCGGAGTTAACTCAAAGCATCATATTCTTACTATATTGTTTCTCAGTGTGCTCATGTCCTCGAACTTCCTTCTGATTTATTGCAGGACTTCATTGATATTGATACTGAGACAAGAATACCATATCCAGCTGAACTTGCAGAGTCAATTTATCAAGTAGAAGTCCCTGTAAAACATGATGATGATATGAACTGTCCTTATGCTAAAGATAGCTCCTGCATGGAAATCACAGGACTAGAGAATGGTCAGATAATACCCCAGTTGGAGGCTAGTATGATTTCTTGGGAGCTTGATGAGTGCCCAGCAAAGACAGCGGTATCCAATATTTTTCATAATATTGTTGAACACTTATATGATGGAGCACAAGTTCGTCTTCCATCATTTGGCTCAACTGAGTTCTTGAGATCATGTGATATGGACATTTTTGCCTTGGTTTGCAAAGATGCCCCACGTGTGGAGTATCGAGCAGATAAACCAATTACAGCAAAGGATGTAGCAGAAATGGATTTTGTGAGGATCAATCATGATATTTTACTTGATAAAAAGTCAGCATTATACCCTCTCAAACCTGATGGGACCTGTTCAGATTTTCCTTGCTCCATTCTCTTGGAGGAAGTAGAGACTATCAACTTTCCTTCTGAGGATGCCTTTAAGACACTTGTTCAGTCAGTGAAAGCTGAGATGAATACATCTGAGGTAATATTCAAAGATGACTTTGATCAAGCAAAATCTTTCTATGAATCAGTGGTTAGCTCCGAATGGGCTCTAGTTGATGATACCTTCAAATCACTACCTACACCTATTTTACCTGATGATAAAGCAATGAGATCTATGCTTCCCCCTATAGAAGTACTTTGCTCCCTAAAACCACTTCCTCTATCTGCAGCAGATGGGATCTATTTGGATTGGCATCTTTTATCAGAAGGGCCATGCAATCAGGAGAGTTGCTCTACTTATACGAGTATGGTTGAGGAGGTAAAGCCTTGCAGTTTAAGTCCTGAAATGCAAATAAGTTGCCAGCAGATGCCAGCGCTTGACATTAGTTTTCTGGAGGATTTTCCGAGAAGTGCAAAGCTTCAACATGAGGACAAGAAGAATGAGATTTATGTTCCTGGGCCTATACCTCATGATCCATCAGCCAATTTGGAAACAACTCAGAAGAACATGCTAGAAAGTGATGTCAGAGGTCATAGCCACATGGATAAATTGAGTCCAGAAAAGGAATCATCATTGTTTAAGTCAACGTCACAGTCCAATGGGCTAAGCTTCTACTTAAATGTGAGAAATGACACTAATAAAGTAAGTAAAAATGAGGATATTTCTACCTTAGACATCCCCTCTTCAAAGCAAGCAGCTCCTTTTTCAACCAGACCTAGAGTTAACAAACTCATAGAAATTCATCCTGTCAACCTCTCAGATCTTATCCAAGGCCTTATCAAAGACATCCATGTAAGTTATACATCTGCTTTGCAAGAAAGTGCATACTTCAGGCATTCTTTCTCCGATGGGCAAGGTTTAAGCATTTCAAAGCAAAAGCTTCTTGAACTGATAACAGGGGAAGGTTCAGAAGGCTTGTATAGCTACTGTAAATATGAAGATAAGATGGAGCTTATTGTACTGTATGCATTAAAACAGGTTGCATATTACCTATGTTTCTTTGGTCTGCATGCTGCCTATCTGTATGTAGGCAATTTGACTGGAACATTTGAAAATATTCCTGAGAGGTTAAGAAATATTCAACGCTGCATTGGTGAAGCTCGGTTGAAAGCTGAGAAGCAACTACTAGAGTCTCATCCGTCATTATCTGTCATTGAGATAATCCTTAGATCTAATACCCAAATCGGCTGAAAAATCCTTATAGTGTCTGATAGAGCTTTCTGGTTGCCATTGGGTCAAAAGCTAACTGCCATGAAGATAACATCTGTTGAGTTTGAAACATACCATTCAACCACTTATTCAGATCCGGTGATCAAGACAAACTCTAAAACGTGTATGCTGGAAGAATTATGGAAATCAGACTGCATTCTGCTAGCTAACAAGTAAGTCCACGTGAATTCAAATTAGGCTTATCTGCATTGTTTCCTTATCTTTTCAGTTATATTACTACAAATAAAATCAATGTTAGAAACACATTTAGTTCCTGCAGTTAGCCACTTAATCTTTCATGATAACTTCTCATATTGATACGTTCTTCAGCATGGTATGTCACCACTTATACAACAACAACAAAGCCTTATATATAATAAAACTATAAAGATGAATGCTTCAGGCAAAGAATCCAAATGCCTAATTTTGGAGGTATCTTAAGCGATCTGACTAATTGATTGTAACTGGTGAAATCAATTCTCCGTCTGTTGTACTTACTAGAGATCAATGTAATTTCTGGAAGGATGCAATCAGTTCTCGTTGCAGTATATTCTGCTTCTATTTTTTCAATTGAAATGTTAAAATGATTCAGTCTACTAAGAGATTAAGAATCTATTATGAATGCTCATAATTTGAAACTAGGTGAGGTTTCACATCATTTTTAAATGTACAGAAATTTCAATATCAAATTTGAAACTTATTTTGGTGAGCACAAGTCTAAAATTGATCAGCTTTTTTATGCTTAGAATCATTTTCCTCTTTTGCAAACAATTTGCCTGCTTACTCATTGGATTATTTTGTAGCCTTTTATACTTTCTGACATAACTGAAAAACACTTTAGAGTTCAAATTTTTATGCATGGGCAACATTTTAGAAATCACGTATAGGCCACGTCTACACTATAGAAAAAATAGCATACAATTATAAGGGTGTCCAAAAAGTTTCTTGTCATTTTTCATAAACGATGTTTTTTTCCTGTGTGCTTTATGTTTTCAGTGTGTCTATTGTCAAATATAATATAATTCATTTCTTTTCCATCTTGAAGGAACATCCCAGCTTCATTCCCTTTCAGTGAATTTTGCATGGTACTGGAATATGGAGGTCCAAATAAATCATCTATCTTGTTATCTCTGGCTCCCAAATTAGATGGTTTGCCACCACTGCATTTCCTCTATGTCACAGTGGATGGTGAAGGCCTTCCAAATGCTCTTGTCGAGGACAATCACACAGACCATGATCTGAAATCTACGTTGGTGATTATCAATCACTTTTTCACCTACTTATAAGTTAAAAGTGAAAAAGTGAAACTCATTATAAGTTTTAAGTTGGTTCATCCCTGCTTAAAACTTATAAGTCACCCTTTTTCGCGTGGGGCCCACACCTTTAATGAGCTTATAAGTCATCTACAACCAAACATGCATGACTTATAAGTCACTGGTTTTCAGTCACCTGACTTATGGAAACCAAACAGGGCCTTAAACTCATTAAATTTTGTTTAGGGGGAATCTTTGTATCTATTTCGGTCATTCGTTTCATACCTTTTCTGTTTGCTAATAAGCACACATGACACATGTATGTTACTGATATTTGTATAGTTTGTTTTCCTCTTTTGTAGAGACTGATATCTTTATAAAATGAGTTCAGGAGGGGGTTTTCTCCTCCTGGTTTTACAACAACAACAACAACAAAGCCTTTAAGTCTCAAACAAGTTGGGTAGGCTAGAGTTGAAACCCAGCAGAAGCAATCAAGGTTCAGGCACGTGAGTACTGTTTTTCAAGCACTCCTATCTAAGGCTAAATCTTTGGGTATATTCCATTCTTTCAAGTCTCCTTTTATTGCCTCTACCCAAGTCAACTTCGGTCTTCCTCTGCCTCTCTTCACATTACTATCCTGGCTTAGGATTCCACTACGCACCGGTGCCTCTGGAGGTTTTCGTTGGACATGTCCAAACCATCTCAACCGGTCACGTTGCAGGCGGGGCGGGCTCTTAACGAGACCCGCACACTCGCCCCGCAAAGTTTCCCGTTGTAGCCGTAGTGGCCTAGCTATAAATTTTTTGTGGCCCAACGTCTTTAAACCCGTCAAACCCGTTGGGCAATAGACAAAGCTCGCAGGAACCCGCAAGACCCGCAACAACTGCATCTCCTGAACCCTACCACCACCTCGTCACAGCTGCTTCAGCACACAACACCGCCGCACCGGACGCGAACCCACCGCACCGCAACGGCCGCCGCGCGCTACGAGCACCAGTCCACCACCGCCATGGTCGCCGCGCGCTACGACGTGGAGAAGGGCGGGAGGAACGGCGACTATCTCAGATATAGATGAAGCAATGCTACATACAGATCGTAATGGATTCATATAGAGAAAAGATTCCATCACCAACTCTGCTCTACTATCTCTGATTGGTTTGCCACTCAAGTACAAAATTACTTTGCCCAAAGTAAACGCAACTCGAAATTGTTTGGATCGATGGATGGACGATGAACGGTTTCTCACATTGATCAGAGCACCTTGTTTCCGCAGTCGCAAGTCGGGGCACTTGTATGGGACAAAGTTGTGCATGAGCACCAAGGATGGAGGCTCCTCACCGCATGCATCTGGTCTGCACGCCGTGTTGCCCACCTTCTAGCAAACATGATCACCTCGTGCTCATCGGACTTAGACTTGAGCAACATTTTGGATCTGATATGCACATGCAGGAACTTAACACCGCCCGGCTTGAGTAGAACTATGTCCGATCTGGATCTACATTCCGCTTTCCTTACAGTGAGAATTGGCATCATCTACCTTGTTTCTGGCGTTGGAGGCAGCGTGCTCTCATCTCTGTTCATCAGGAACACCATCTCTGTCGGGGCTTCTGGAGCTCTGTTCGGACTCCTTGGTGCCATGCTGTCCGAGCTCTTCACCAACTGGACCGTTTACTCTGTTTCGATCTTCAATACATAGATACTGTACTATACATCTTGCGGGTCTTGCGGGTTTTGTATACAATTTTGTTGTGTCCGCGGAACACTTGTCCGTGAGATCCGTAGCTTTGTGGCAAGCCGCAAGCCCGCTAATAAACTTTGCGGCAAGCGAGGCGGGTTAGCGGCCGGCCGCGAACGAGCCCGTCTGCAAGTTGACCAACCGGTGTTGGACAAGCTTTTCTTCAATTGGTGCTACCCCTAATCTATCACGTATATCATCGTTCCGAACTCGATCCCTTCTTGAATGACCGCAAATCCAACGCAACATACGCATTTCCGCGACACTTATCTGTTGAACATGTCGTCTTTTTGTAGGCCAACATTCTATACCATACAACATAGCATGTCTAATCGCCGTCCTATAAAACTTGCCTTTTAGCTTCTGTGGTACCCTTTTGTCACATAGGACACCAGATGCTTGGCGCCACTTCATCCACCCTGCTTTGATTCTATGGCTAACATCTTCATCATTATCCCCGTTTCTCTGTAGCATTGATCCTAAATATCGAAAGATATCCTTCCTAGGCACTACTTGACCTTCCAAACTAATATCTTTCTCCTCCCGAGTAGTAGTGCCGAAGTCACATCTCATATACTCAGTTTTAGTTCTACTGAGTCTAAAACCTTTGGACTTCAAAGTCTCTCGCCATAACTCCACTTTCTGATTCACTCCTGTCCGGCTTTCATCAACTAGCACTACATCGTCCGCGAAAAGCATACACCAAGGGATGTCCCCTTGTTTGTCCCTTGTGACCTCATCCATCACTAAGGCAAACAGATAAGAGCTCAAAGCTGACCCTTGATGTAGTCCTATCCTAATCGGGAAGTCATCCGTGTCTCCATCACTTGTTCGAACACTAGTCACAACATTGTTGTACATGTCCTTACAACAATGTTGTGACTAGTGTTCTCCTCCTGGTTTTCTCAATAAAAAATTATGTTACTGATATGAAACGTGGATTAACTTTATTAGTTATTGCCTAAGTATATCTATTATCTATTCAAGTTAATATGTTTTTTGATAAAACTAAGTATTGATTACATGAAGGGCGGGCCTGGTGTAAACGCTAGAGTCTTACCGCCTGACCGGAAGGTCCCGGGTTCGAGTCGCGGTCTCCTCGCATTGCACAGGCGAGGGTAAGGTTTGCCACTGACACCCTTCCCCAGACCCTACACAGAGCGGGAGCTCTCTGCACTGGGTACGCCCTTTAAGTATTGATTACATACAGGTTTCTCTGGTCTCTAGGAATTCCATAAATTCCAAGACCAGAGAATGGAAGTAAAATACATACTACAATTTTGTTTTTTCTACACATCACTCACCAAAATTTGTTCAAATGTGTAATAGAAAATATGTAAATAACTATAAGATCTGCTTATCATGATTCCTAGTTTTGATGAACATGGATTTTACACACTGGATAATTAAAGTGGTACGCATTGCATACGAAAAAATTACAAAAATGACACTCGAAAGATTGACTCCTTGATTATGATGACACTCGGGTGGATGATAAGTGGGTTCATCTGTGTCTATGAATGTGGGTCCAGTGTCAAATCTGTAAACGACCGATGTTTCGAGTCCCATTTTTGCAAATCGCCCATTGCATACTGAATTGTTTTTTTTAATCTCATACTGAATTGTTCAAAAGTCATTTTGAGGGAGTCCTCAAAAGGCTAATGGGGTACATATGTTTCTATTAACCAGAAGATCCTAAGTTTTCCTCTCCTTGTTATTTGCAGGATGCTGTTTTGCATACACTTTAGAAAGACTTGCAAGAGAAGATGAACAAAATGCGTACTGTTGATTCATTAAACTTTATACCGGCAACAAATCAACAGCAACATCTGCAGACCAATCATCTCACTGCTGATTCATCAAAAAAGATTCCAGCAGATGTTCAACTGCACAATCAGGGAAATCTGAACGAAAAGAATATTGTTGATCCACACAACTTTGTGACTGCAGCTGAACAGCTCAATACGTTGAACCAAATAACCATTGCCATTTCACAAAAATTTGTGCCTGCAGTTGAGAAGAGCAGTTCAACTTCTTTTGTATCTGCGAATGTGATAAAAGCTCCCCAAGACAACCAATCTGCTGGTGTCCTTCCTCTCAGTGAGAAAATGGACAGCACAAAAGCAGGAATACCTGGCCCAGAGGCAGTGATTGTTGTAAATATTGGAAATCATGGAAAGAATATGCTTTTCTCTCGAAGATCATCTTATCAGCAGATACTAGCTTTGGAGCGAGAAGGGCGGGCCTGGTGCAAGTGGTAGAGTCTTACCGCCTGTGACCGGAAGGTCCCGAGTTCGAGTCAAGGTCTCCTCGCATTGCATAAGCGAGGGTAAGGCTTGCCACTGACACCCTTCTCCAGAGCCCGCACAGAGCGGGAGCTCTCTGCACTGGGTACTAGCTTTGGAGAGAGGAGGTATGCAGGTTGTAGAGCGAGATGTTGATCTGCCTGTGGACTTAATACTTACCGCTGCAGTTTGTTTACTATGGTATGATACAAGAACCTCTGGGTCCAGTGAATTAACAATATCATCAGACACATCTGGTATAACAAATTTTGTAGAGGATATTGCTACCAACATTCTGATGGCACTTAGCTTCTGTTTCTGTGGCTGCGTAATGGTAATTGCTTTTGCTCCTGTTAATGTCCTTAATTTTCCATAATAGAGTGGCCATGCCATACCTTTCACAGCTTATGCATGCATATATGTTACACTTGTTTTTCTTACTAATATTTGTGCTCATTTCGGTATATTGCAACACAATGAGTTATCTGTTCCACTTTTGCAGGTCTTCGAGGGTGAAAATCACTTGCTTTCTGCTGTATTGGAGGCATCTGATTCTCTATATGCTTTAGCTGCTAGCCTGGACATGAACTTGAAGCTATTCTTCTCACAAACGCCCAAATCAACAGATCAAATCATTCTCAATTGCATCCAGAATGCGGTTAGTATAAATCAAGCTCCTTGTCCACAAATACCGAATCGAAAAGTCCGGTTGAGTCATTTGTCACGGCATTCCCTTCGCTTAGTCCTCTGTCTGCACACACACATGATACTTTCTTCCGCACTCTTCTGGATTTCCTCGAGATGGTCACATGAGCAACGCACTCAGTCTGTTGAAAATTATCGCTTTGCCGCCACGTAGCATTTCTCTCTTCGATTGCTTTGTGCAAATTCGGTGAGCTAGGTGAATCAAAGTCTGTTATGACCGAATGCTCTTCTGTAGATTCAGATATCAGTAGTGCATTGTTGCAGTCTGCAAGGAAAAAGAAAAGGTGTGCCACACAAGACTTTTCAGCAGCAGTTAGTCACCCTGCTCTCCCTAATCCTTGTACTCAATTTCATGGTGATTGTGTAGAAAATGACAAGGTATTATCACCACCTAAGTTAAGGAAATTCTCTCACATAGATGATATGATGCCTGACCTCCCTGAAGTCTTTATGATTGATCAAAGGTTGAATATGGGTAGTGAAGGTGTCTCTTGTCGCCCAAGAAAGTATGATGTGGATGCTGTAATCGGGATTCATGTAATAGATGATGACTTCATCAATGAGCTGACTCCAAATTTCAGAACATACAATGAAAGGGCTAGCAGTATGGTGGACATATGCAATTTCTCTAGGCAATCCAAATTGGGAGAAAAACAGCCAATTAGAAGTTCCTTTCGTGCCAGCATGCCATCAGCCAGAGTATAACTTCCATTCATCCAACATTTCCATCCGCATTGGAGATCAAGAATGACCACGTAATCATTAGATAATCTCTCGCATCCCCGTGTGAACACACAAAGCAGGGAAGGCGGCGCCGAAAAGGCTCCCTCATTGTGGTATCAGAGCCACAGCAGGGGTAGGTGCCGAACGGCTCACCGCCAAGATCAGAGCCACACAAAGCAGAGACAGACGCCAGAGTCAGCCCTGCTGTCACATCTAGTCACTGTAGCAGCATGACAGCTGTACTAGGACTAGATGGATAGAGTTGTATATATAGTTTGCCACTGCAACTCAGTAAAGAGCGAGTTCAGTTTTGTCATCTCCTCTACAGAGCTCCGGCCAACGCTGGTGCTTGTGCTGTGTGTGTGCTTTGTTCTCCCTCCCTTCTTCTACCTCTAACCATAGTTTGTGGTCGGACAACGATACTAGTGGTCGGCAACGCTGGTGAGTGGTCGACTCACCCGTGTCGGTGATTCAGTGGGCTAACAAGTGGTATCGAGCCAGGTTACAAGCGCCGTCGCTGGACTAACCGCTGGCGATGACGGACGGTTTGGAGATGGGCGACAACAGCGGTGTTGTGGCTGCCCAACCACGATAGGAGGTCGTTGTGCGGGAGGTGCGGGAGGTCAGCGGCACCAGTTGGCCGACGCTGACTCGCACCAACTATGGAGAGTGGGCGGTGATCATGAAAGTCAACCTCAGAGCCCGACGGCTCTGGAATGCTGTTAACAAGGGCACCGACAATGAAGAAGACGACATGTCAGCGTTGGAGGCTATCCTCGCTGCTGTACCGGCGGAGTACAAAGAGCCATTGGGGGCGAAGAGCTCTGCTAAGGAGGCGTGGGAGTCCATTACGGCGATGCGCGTCGGTTCCGACCGCGCAAAGAAGGCGACGGCCCAGCTTCTGAAGCAGGAGTACACGGAGGGTACCAATGCGTACCGGCTCTACGACCCACGCGGAGACAAGGTGCTTGTCTAGCGCGACGTCGTGTTTGACGACAAGGCGGCTTGGGAATGGAACAGTCAGAGCACGGGGGAAGCTGGCGGCTTCACCAGTACCTTCATCGTCGATCACTTGGTCATCTACGGTGGTGGAGACGCTGGGGAAGAGGTGCCGAGCACTCCGGCAATAGAGCCGAGCACTCCTGGGAAGGTGCCGATCACTCCAGGAGTGGAGCCGGGAGGTCCTGCAGTGGTATCGACCACTCCAGGACGGGTGCCGAGCACTCCCGTAGCGGCGCCGAGGGGTCTTGTAGTGGTGCCGACCACTACAAGATTGGTGCCGAGCACTCCGGGAGGGGTGTCGACCACTCCAGGAGTGGTGATGAGCGGTGCAGGAGTAGTGCCGAGCATTGCATCCGGGGTGCCGAGCACTCCAGGTGCTGTGCCAATCACTCCGACGGAACAGGGAACTCCATCGACGCGATCGAGTTCGCCTCACCTCCAAGTGACATCACTGAGTTAGTGGATGCCTTCCACGAAGGTGAGGAGGTGCGGTTCCGCAGGCTGGACGACATTGTCGGCGGCACAGGGTCCTCAGGCCTGGCGGGTAGATTGCTCAATGACCCAGAGCTGCTTCTCATTGGTGCAGAGGAACCACCCATATTCGTGCTGGCCGAGCGCGATACACACTGGCGACGGGCGATGCCAGAGGAGATGAAGGCGATCGAGGAAAACGAGACTTGGGAGCTCGTCGATCCGCCTCCAGGATGCTGTCCAATCGGCCTGAAATGAGTGTACAAGGTCAAGTGGGACGAGCACGACGCCATTGTCAAGCACAAGGCGCAACTCGTCGCCCGAGGCTTTGTCCAGCGTGAGGGTATCGACTTCCAGGAAGTCTTTACGCCGGTAGCGCGCATGGAGTCTGTCCGACTGCTTCTGGCTTTGGCAGCAGCAAAGGGCTGGCGCGTCCATCACCTGGACATAAAATCGGCCTTCCTCAACGGTGAGCTGGCGGAGACGGTCTTCGTTAGACAACCTCCGGGTTTCGCCGTCAAGGGAGCGGAGCACAGGGTGCTCCGACTGCGCAAGGCGCTCTACGGGCTGTACACGCCAAGCTTGACGCCACGCTGGGCGAGCTTGGGTTCACGAGGTGCGCAACCGAGCACGCGCTCTACACGCGGCAACGGGGGAGGAAGAGCTCGTCGTCGGCGTGTATGTGGATGACTTGATCGTCACCGATGCGCGTGCGGAGGACATCGACAGCTTCAAGCTCGAGATGACGGCTCGTTTTCGAATGAGCGATCTCGGCGCACTCTCCTACTATCTCGGGATCGAGGTGAGACAAGGGAAGGAGGCGCTCACGCTCGGTTAGAGCGCATGTACGCCTTGAAGCTGTTGGAGCGGAGCGACATGGCTGAATGCAAGCCATGCGTGACTTCGATGGAGGAGCGGCTGAAGCTGACGAATGCCAGTACCGCGGCGAAGGTGGATGCAACACTCTACCGGAGCATTGTCGATGGTCCGCGCTACCTAGTCCACACGAGGCCGGACATTGCGTTCGTCGTGGGCTACGTCAGCCGCTTCATGGAGGATCCCAGAGAGAATCACTAGGCTGCGGTGAAGCGCCTACTACACTACATTAAGGGGACGGTGGATCAGGGGATCGTCTTTCCTAAGACCAGCGGAAGTAGGCTGCAACTCACTGTGTTCAGCGACGCAGACATGACGGGGGACATCGACGGACGGCGGAGCACCTCTGGCGTGTTTCGCTTTCTCGGTCGGTTCCAATCTCATCATGGTCGTCGATGAAATGAAGGTGGTGGCTCGCTCTACATGGCGGGCGTATGTATGGGCGGCGCCACAACAGCCGCGTTGTTGTGTGTGCTCTGCCGCCATCTTCTTTAAGGGCGAGATGACCGGTGTGGAAGCTCACCCACCAGCACTCTGCCATCGCCCTCGCGAAGAATCCGGTTCTTCACGACCGGAGCAAGCACATCGACGTGAAGTTCCACTTCCTCAGGGACTGTGTCGATGGAGGGCAGGTCGTCATCGAGTTCGTTGAAACTGGTCGGCAACTCGCGGACGTCTCTCACCAAGCTGCTCGGACGTCTTCGACTCATGGAGCTGAAGAAGATGATCGGCATGGAAGGGGTTTTAAGGTTAGCAACAGGATTAGGGAAAGAATTGTTAGATAATCTGCTGCATCCCTGTGTGAATACACGACAGGGGAAGGCGGCGCCAAAAAAGGCTCCTCGCTGTTGTAATCAGTAGCCACAGAAGGGCGAACGTCGAGCGGCTCACCTGCGCATCAGTAGCCACAAAGCAGAGTAGGCGCCCAGAGTCACTTTCTTGTCACATCTAGTCACTTTATGCAGCATGATGACAAATGTACTAGGACTAGATGGATAGAGTTGTATATATAGTTTGCCACTGCAACTCAGTAAAGAGAGCGAGTTCAGTTTTGTCATCTCCTCTGTAGAGCTCCGGCCAACGCTGGTGCTTGTGCTGTGTGTGTGCTTTGTTCTCCCTCTCTTCTTCTACCTTTAACCATAGTGTGTGGTCGGACAACGATAGTCGTGGTCGGCAACGCTGGTAAGTGGTCGACTCACCCGTGCCGGTGATCCAGTGAGCTAACAGTAACTGGGACGTTTCATGTGGTATAAATCAAACATGGACAGATAATGTGCATGGGGATTTCGCCACAAGTTCAGGTAGAAATGATCTGGGCAGCAGATATCATGAACCAAGACAGGAAATAATGCAGACTCCAGCATCTTCACTTCCTTTTCTGAAACAGGATTTTGGCTGTCATGGAGCATCACAAGGCTCAGGCTGGGAAATGGATTATCTAAGGCAAATGAATAAAAAAAAGGGGGCGTACCCAGTGCAAAAAGCTCCCGCTCTGTGCGGGTCTGGAGAAGGGTGTTAGTGGCAAGCCTTACCCTCTCCTGTGCAATGTGAGGATCGCGACTCGAACCCGGGACCTTCCGGTCACAGGCGGTAAGACTCTACCGCTTGCACCAGGCCCGCCCTTCTCTCAGGCAAATGAATGAAAACAGAAAAGCACGCCAAGAGCAATCTAGATGCAATGTTTCAGCAACATGGTCAAATTCAAGAACAAGGGATGGCTCTAGAATTCTGAGTGTTCCTCCTATTGAATCTTTCAGATATCAAAGAAATACAGATACTCCTTTCAGGGACCAGAGCCCTTCAGATATTGAATCTTTCAGACATCGAAGAAATATAAACACCCTTTTGAGGGACCAGAGCCCTTCAAATGAGGCTCGCAGGTATGAGAAAGGCAGGGGAGGAACTAAAGCACAGAGCCATAGGGTAAGAAAGGATTTCAAGGCACAGCCTAGTATAAATCATGGAAAGAGCATAGTGCCATCCATCGAGCCAACATGGACTCCTCTTGACAAGAGAGCAAGACAAGTATGTATTTACATACTGCAGATTTGTTTTTGTATGCTAGTGTTTAGGATGCCAGTTAATCTAGATAATCTTCTGCAGAAACTTACATTTGCAACACATGGGAGCGAAAAACAAACCAAGCTGATCTGGAGACATCAAAGCAGCCCCAGTGTTGGATGTGGCTTCCCTAAGAGGTACCAGGAAGAAGCTCCGTAGATTGTCAGGTCCAGTAACGTTCTGGACACCCAGAGCACGTTATTCTTGGAGAAAAAGGCCCCACATGCAAGTTTTTTATGTTTTAATTGGTTAAGACAATACATGAAATATTTCCTCATGAGAACTTTGCACCATCATTGACCTGGCAGGAGCTGTCAATGTACATATTTTTTAGCACTCCTGGGAATGATTGAATGTATCCTTGTTACACGTATGTCCTGTCTGTTTCAAACTGTGAAATTTATCTGCCACTATCATCTTCTATAGATTCAGGTTTCACTTCAGTAATCTTGTTGATGCTTTGCATGGATAGCTATTTATTTTCTGAAACTGTGAGGGTATGGCATATCCCCAAAGGTGCGTATCCTATCCCATTTGTTTGACTGCATGGCACTGATGTTATCAGGCTTACATGTCAGTAGTCTACTGCTTAGTTCGATATCTTAGGCATGTCAAAGGTCCACAGATGGGTATTTGGGGTATCACTTTATGAGACGGCACAAAGCCACAAACTTCCGAAATATTGCAGATTAGAATTTTTTTTACTTCTATATATAACTCAAAACTGATTGATGCCCTATATTGCTATTTTTTCAAAAAAAAAAAACTAGGCCACATTGTTTTTTTTTCTTCCAAAAACTAGCCCATATTGCCTGCGTCTTCCTCTAAAGAGAGAGAATTAAAAATAAAAAACGCTCCCCGTGTGTCCAAGTCGGAGACGAATAGAGTTCAAAAAAGAGAGTCGGAGACGAATATATGGAGGCATACGGTTTCAGAAAGCAATTCGATGCCTGCTCTAAATCGGAGTTCGGCGCCCTTTTAATTGGCAGAACCCTTCGACGTCGTTCAGTCGTGCCGCGTTCGTCTTCTTGCTGGACATCAAGAAACACCCTGTGTCCTGTCTAGTTACGACCTACGATGCAGCCTGGAGGAGGCAACGGCAATGGCAGCAGCTTCCGCTACGGGCGAGGCCAACCCTACCGCCCGCCGTTGCCGCCTGAACAACAGATGACACCGCAAGAGAGGGAAGTGGTTCTGATGGCTGCCGGCCGCCTCGCCGCGGAGTACCTGGTGAACAGAGGCGATCTGCCGCCGAACGTGCTGGAGAACCGCCCGCCGGCTCCGATCCCGTTGCTCGGAGTCGGAGGAGGCCAGCCCGCGTTCGGGTCGCAGTACCACCAGCAGCCGCCGGTACCCCGGACGTACCACTTCCAAGGACGCCCGCCCGCGCCGCAGCACCGTCAGCCTCAGCCATGGCCCAACCCGTTCCACTTCCACCAAGGGCAACAACGCCCACCCGCGCCGCAGCGCCGGTTCCCGGGCCCCCGCCCGTTCCAAGGAGGCCGCGGCCCGTTCCCGAAGCGGCCACGCCAGCGCCCGTTCCCGTACGGCCCGCCTGGGCCGGCTCCTCCCCAGACGCGGTACGCCGGCCAGGCCGCGGCACCCGTCGTGTCCGCGAGTAAAAATAAGCAAGACGACGACGACAACAAGCACAGCGCGCCGGCTGGAGAGGCGGGCGACTCTCAGCCGACGGCGCAGCCGGAAGTTCCGGCCAGCGGCTCGCAGCAGACGAACGAGCCAAGCAGCGGTTCCCTTGGCGCCAACGCTAGCGAATCAAGCTAGAATACACACGCACTTCAGTTTTTGGCTGAAAAGTCAATGTAAACAGCTCTACAGCGTAGCTCTAGCACAGTTTTTTTCTTTTTGTTGCAGGCATGCACGGTTACCCGGATCAGAATTTAGCTGCAAAGCAGCGATTTTGTAATTCTGTGTGAAACTGGTGGAATTAGTACTGTTTTGTCGTCTATATCTATATACTATATACTTCCCTCGGTTTTCATTTACTCGCCACCAACCTTTTACTGTAGCAACTTGACCATATGTTTTTTCCCCTTCTAAAAAATCTTAGATACTCCCATGTATATAACACTAATGAAGTATGTTTAATAAAGAATCATATATGTGAAAACTTAATGTATCTAAAAATCTTTTGCAGATAAAAAACATATGGTCAAATTTGTTACAGTAAAAATTCGATGACAAGTACACGAAAACAGAGGTAGTACAATCTTGGTGACAACAAGTACTAGAAATAAATATAGCAACGATTTTCTGATTCTGGTGGAATAGTGCGGTCTCGACATCTGTATCAATTCTTATCTTTTTCGCATGCCTGAAAACATCAAAGAAATTGCCAAAGAAAAAACCAGCTGAGTTTCACGTCACGCTGCCTAGTAAAAACCAGCAGAAAAATTATACTAATAACACTAACAAAAAGGGGCATTCCGAGAATCGAACTCGGGACCTCTCGCACCCAAAGCGAGAATCATACCACTAGACCAAATGCCCTGATGCTAAATAGTTTAATTAAGTTGATATTAATTTATTAAGCCTGGTGAAGCGACGAGCAAGATTGCAAGAGCTGTAAAATGCAAATGCCAAGTCTCAATTCTCACGCGGCCCTCTTGTACTGCAATCAATTACCGTCAGCCAGCGATCTTCATGAAGCTTAGTGCCTGTTTGGCACGGCTCCTGGAGGGGTTCCAGCTCCGGCTGCAGGACCTGTACCAAACGCCCCTGTCCAAAATAGCTCTTCCGCCAGTGCACTTTGGGAGACGGAGCTGTTGTGAACGTAGCTCCGCGCGGCTCCGCCTGACGGTCTCGAATGCAAAGACGTTCACGCCTTTCTTCGCATGCTCCGCGCTCGGCTACGCAGGAGGCGGCGGCAGTGCTGTAGCGGCGAGCGGCGGCGCGAGCGGACGCTGTGTGGGAGCGGCGCTGTGGCGGCAACGTGGGAGAGGGCAAGCACGACGTGGGAGAGCGGCGACGCAGGCACCAGGTGCGGGCGACGGCAGCGTGGAACAATGGCGGCGCAAGCACCGGATGCAGGCGGCGGCGTGTGCGAGCGGTCTTGGAAGGAAGGACGCGAGGAGAGAGATGATGCAGGTCGTATGGGCCTTGGGCCAAAATGGTGTCTCCCTCAATTTTTCTTAAAAATATATTAAATATGTTTAACTTAATTATAACCAATATCATGCTTACTTTTGTAAACGTTACTGACTCTAAAGAACACTATTATCAGTTAATCCTATTTTTCATATATTGACCTTGTTATTTTCGTACAATCATATGACAAAGTGACATTAAGCATAAATCATATGTACAACCAAGCTAAATAAAAGCAGGGGCACTATAGACATTCAACATCTTTCATTTATTTAAAAAAATAAAAGAAGTCGTTTTATCAAACATTTTTTTTTCTAGAACGAGTCTTCTATAGAGGAGCTGCTCCCTCATATGAGACAGTGGCGGAACTATTTTTGCATGCCCTTAACTGTAGCCATGAAAGCGGCGGTCTAAAGCGGTGGCCGGTGGACGGAGACTCGGAGACCCATGCTAGTTAACACGTCAGTCGTCACTAAGCCTGATAATAAATAAAATACTTACACGAGCACAGGAAAAGACAGAGTAAGCTACCCTGATCACGAATTTCAACAACCCACCGGTCGTCGCCTGATCGGTGCAAATCTTTCCACGCTAGCGATTTGCTGTTGCTTTCTCGCGCTGGGTCCCGCGGACGCAGGTGGGCACCTTGATTATTCCCCCACACATGCGGGGCCACGAAGGCTACGGATCAGGCTAGAAGCCTAGAAGTAACCTAAGCTCGCGGTAACACGAGAAACTACAAATATGAATTACTAAGTTTAACGATAAATAAGCTACCCGTACACCGAACAAGTTCGACCTTCAACGGAATGCCCTAGGGACAGCCCAGATTTTTTTTACCTCCCTCGTTCGCATCAAACCTCCCGTCTACGTGCTGTTTGTATGGGCTTATTTACCTGATAAACCATAGCTAAAAGTACTCTTAATTAATTTAGTGTAAGAAAAAAATACTATTCATTAACAGATAAGTCATAACTTATAAGCCAAACGCGATCAAATGAACGGGCCGCTAGCATGCACAGGTTTTACACGACCTGGCCTTATCTTTTTGACCATATCAGAACAGAATCCTTTCAACAGGAATTAAAAAATAACAAAAAATCAATGAAATCACTGCCATTTATAGGAGACGGTGCGGGGACACCTCGCTCCCGCATTCTCTCCGTCCACTCATCGCGTCGCCGTTGGTCGTTAGCAGCAGCAGCAGCGCGGGGAGCAAACAGGGGGACAAGGCAACCGGGCCGACGAAGAGGAAAAGGAAGAAAGCGTCGCGGAGGGATGGCGCTTGGCCTCGGCGTGCGGGCGGCGCCCTTCACGTACGCGGCGCACGCGCTGGCCGTCGCGGCGGCGGCCATGGTTCTGGTCTGGGCCATCCAGTTCCGCGGCGGGCTCGCCATCGAGGCCACCAACAAGAACCTCATCTTCAACGTGAGTACTGCCTCAGTGCCTCTTCCCTCTCTCCTTGCGCTGCTCCCCAATTGGATAAGGCGCCTGGTTGCTTCGACGCCGACAATTTTTTGAGCCGCGTTTTTCTTCTTTTGTTTGCTCTTTTTTCCCTCCTTTGATACAGTAAAAGTAGGATTTGATGTCGCGTCGACAGTGAGTGTGTGTAGGCTGCTTCACGAGCTAGAAAGTGAGGAAATTTAAACCTGGATTATAGAATTATTAAAAAATGATATAGTGCAGTGGTCTTGATGATACGTTTAACTTATTTGCTGTTAATTGTAGCTTTGGCGATTTGGAGAATTGCTGTGTGGGAGGTTAACTCATTCTTAATCGTTCCTCACACGAAGGCTCTGTTTGTGAGCGTGTGGCATGGCCTTCTTTGCTTCAGCTAGAGATTGTGGATTCTAGCTTTTATGTCCCCTAGTAGTTTTTTACCCTAAATAAATTCCACAATTCAGCTTGCTCAGATTCTAGAGTCCAACAATCCGCTCAAACATAGATTTTACAGGATTGTGGCAAACTATAGTGAGACAAAAAAAGAGAAAGAGGCCATAAGCTAGAATCCACAAACAGCCATCAGGTTTTGGACCTTTAGTTTTCCACAATCCAGGACTTCATGCTGCTTTTCAGAATCTATATCTAAAACTAGCATAGCATGTAATTTGTGTTTATTTGGCTTAAAGTTTGTAGGCTTAGTTAGTTGCAAAGCATTTCGCTGCACACATGTACCCTTCGAATCAGAAAACCCGTATCTATTGTTTCTTAATCATTTGTTTCATCACTACTATTTTAGTGAACCTGAATAATAAGTTGATTTACAGCATTTCAGAGTTCATCACAAGTTAAATATTGCAGGTTCACCCTGTTCTTATGCTTATCGGTTATATTATTATCGGCGGTGAAGGTAAATGATCCAAATGTTTTCAGACTTCTCTTCTCTGTCACATGACAAATTTTAGTTTAGTAATGTCTTGTTCGTGTTGTCAGCTATAATGGTATACAGGGTACTTCCGACAACGAACCATGACACAACTAAGCTGATCCATCTAATTCTCCACGGGATTGCACTTGTCCTTGGTGCCGTTGGGATATACTTTGCTTTCAAAAATCACAATGAGAGTGGGATTGCAAATCTTTACAGTCTGCACTCTTGGATTGGGATAGGAACAATTACTTTATATGGTATTCAGGTAAGGTCATGCATATGATGGCAAAGTTAGATTTCTTCTTTGACTATGATTTTGACACACTAACAACACTATTGCATTTATTTTGAATGATTTATCTTTTTTTTATTGAACCAACCAGAGATATATTGTTTTTTTTCGAAATATAAACTTTGCATATGTTGTCGGTAGCTGGTGACCTTCATACTTGCTCTTCTTAGTTAGGTTAACAACCAACCGTCATGAGAAAGTGAATTGGTTTTCAGAGCTAAATGATGGAGTAACACAATTTCTGAAATGAGAAACTGCATTTTAGTCTGAAGTCAACACTCGTATAGTTATGGAGTGATAGAATGACCTTATATTTGCCTTATTTATCACAGTGGATAATTGGATTTGTTACATTCTTCTTCCCTGGTGCTGCGCCAAACGTGAAGAAGGGTGTTCTTCCATGGCACATACTCTTTGGGCTCTTTGTCTACATTTTAGCACTTGCTAATGCAGAACTCGGCTTTCTTGAGAAGCTCACTTTCCTCGAGAGCTCAGGTCTCGACAAATATGGCACAGAGGCATTCTTGGTGAACTTCACAGCATTGGTTGTCGTGTTATTTGGTGCCTCTGTTGTGGTGGCTGCTATAGCTCCAGTTCGCCTTGAAGAACCACAGGGTTATGCTCCAATTCCAGAAAACTAGTACAAATGAAATGTACAGCATATTCAGTTGCCAGGATTGGCTGTTACCATATGGAGATAAGATATTCATATCTGTTTATTAAAGGAGAAGAAGACGATGGAATTATCACAATAAGAAGATAGTGCATCTTCATTGTGTGTGTATATACATTCTGTGATACTTCAAAATTTCAGTATATGCAAAACTGAATATCCTGGTTCATAAATGTGTGTATTTGCTTTCATGAATACCTGCTTGATAAATGTGCTATCGATACTGTTATTTGTTGCAAATCGAGCTGATTTGGATTTTGGATTGTCCTGGTTCAGAAGCAGCCACTGAAACTGCATAGCAGAAAGTGATTAGTGCTATATGCAAGTTCACTGTCATAATT